TAAATCGATTAGTAAATCTGTTATGCAGTTTAGCTTTGCACGTGCTCTTTTGCACGTGTCTAGTAAACTTCTTAACGCTTAACCTATTAAGCGAGGCTACGTGATATGAATATATATATATATATATAGAAACTCTATGGGGAAACCCTACCCCTTATAGGGTTTCCTTATGGGGAGGGCCGATTTTTATACCCCTCGTGGGTTTCCCCGTGGGGAGGACTCGAATTTCCATGGGGCCCCATGGGGCCCTATGGAGCAGCTTAGTATACGCTGATTCGTGCTCGAATATATTTAAAATATCGATAAAACTTTAAAACGGATTAAGCGCGCTAAAGTTACGATCGAAGAAAAATTATAATTTTGCCGAGATAAAATAAATATAATAAGATTCGTATGCAATTCGAAAGGTCGAGAACTCGTTGCGGATAAAGTTATTAAAATTAATAATTAAAAAACCTTCGAAAACGTTATTAAAGTTAAAAGATTTTTAAGCTTTTGCTTTCACTGTAGAAGCACCAAAAAAAGCGTGTCATACAGAAGCCTGACACTAAGGCTAGACCTTATGGTCTTACAAAAAAGTGCTAAAAAAGATAGGTAGAAAGCTCGTTAATTGTTCTAGCTAAGAGATGTATGCTTTTTTATAAAAGCTAAGTCCGTCTAGTATGGCTTTAATAGCTATAGCAAGTACCTTATTAAACAAGGTGTTTATATCCGTCCTTTTATAGAATAAGTAAGCGCCTTCGCTTATTATTAAGCAAAAAGAAAAAAAGAAGGTGTAAAAAAAAAGAAAAAAATCTAATATATAAAAAAAGAAAAGTATTTTATCTTTAAACTTTAAACGTTTAAACTATTCTTTAGCAGCTTCTTTATGATCTCTTTTCGTACTTACGTCCTTAACTCCTTCGTTTTTTTTAAGTTAAAAAGGTCTTCTTCTTTTAGCTAAGCTAGCATTAAATAATAACGTGCTAGCAGCAGCATCTTTAAAAATGAAAGAGCGCGTATCGTTCTTGCGTTTATTACCGGTAGCATCGTTAATAAATGTAAACTTAGCCGACGAAAAGTTAGCAAAGTTAAAATAAAGTTTAAAGCTATTAATTAAGCCGTTTTCGTTTTTAAGCAAATTATCTAAAGCTTTTATAGCTTTATCGAATACGCGGTTTAAAGATTCCGGTTAAAAAGATAATGCTTTAAGATTGCTGATTTAACTTGTGAACCGTAGTTTACGAATAGATTTCGCACTTTCTAGATTGATTTTTATACTCGAATTAAAGTCGTTAAAAAACAACTTAATCGATCGCATGCTTTTTTTAAAATTTTTCAACTTATCGGCGTTTATAAAATCGTTAGCTCGGCGGCTTTTGCTTTTAAAAAAAGACTTAGCTTCGTAAGTCTTAGCTTTAGCATTTAAGACAATAGCAAATCTCTTTTCAAATACCGAAAACAACTTTTTCTTATGCTTAATAAAGTGTTTTTAAAACTAAATCCGAGATATAGCAAAGATAGCAATTAATTCTTTTATTACTCGAAGTTCGTTTTAATTTATTCTTTCGATTAAAGCTTTCGATACGTAATTAACGTAATTTAACTAAATTATAATAGCGAAAAGTTAATTTAATTTATTAATAACTTTTTATCGAAAAGTTAACGGCATGCGTCTTAAGACGATCGTATAAGCGTGCTTTGCAAAGCTAACTTCATTTTTTAAAATACTATCGTTTAGCAAAGCGGTATAATTATTAAAGAAAATTGTTTATTCGTAAAGCGAATTCTAAAAAGCGTTTATATTTAAGAAAACACTTTATTTCGTAATAACGAATATAAAAGTAGCGAGATCATTAATTATAACGAAAGGTTAGCGTAGCGTAATATTCTTAAAAGCATTTAAAGTCTTCGACTTAAGTTTAAAAGCTTTTTATTTAGTAGTCTTTTTAAAAGTTGTATCGTAAGTATAGCTTTTAAGCTAAATAATTAAGCTTTCGATTTAATTGTTTACGTTATAAAGCATTAAGTAATAATCTAAAACTTTATCTTTTATTCGTAAACTACGGTTTACGAGTCGTTTAGTATTAGCGTCGTGCTTAATAGCAATCATTCGAGCATTATTATTACATTTAAAAAATTAAAAAGGTTTCGAATAAGCGATAAGCTTATAGTTTTCGTTTTAACGATTAAGCAAAGCGGCAAAGTATAACTTATAATAACTTCGAAGGACTTGCTAAGTTAAAGAGTGCATTATATTAAAGAATGCATTAGTCGAAGCTCTTTTTAAATTATTAATCCGAAAGTAGTATAAGTATATTTAGATCTCTTTATTTATAATAATAAAGAAAGTCTAATTGCCGTGCTTATCGTCTAAAAAAGAAGCTTTTAATATAAGCTAAACTTTAATATAGCTATTCGCATCTATAATATTAAAAAGGCTGTTCTTTTAAGCGGTGCTTATTAAACTAATGCTCTAGTTCAGCTTATTAAAAGATATCGGCTTAGCTTTAAATTTAAAAGAGCTTAAGCTAAACATTCTTTTAATTAAAGTACTGCTTTTAATCTTAATAGCGAACATCGATTAATTGCTCGAGTAAAGCATAAAGTTATTGTAGAAGCACCTAAAAAGATGTGCCGTATAGAAGCCTGGCTCTGAGGCTAGACCTCATGGTCTCACAAGGAAGAGTCAGAAAAGATGGGTAGAAAGCTCGTTGATTGTTCTAGCTAAAAGATGTATGCCCTCTTATAGAAGATGGGTCCGTCTAGTATAGCCTTAATGGCCATGGCAGGTACCCCATTAGGCAGGGTGTTTACATCCGTCCCCTCATAGAATAGGTAGGCGCCCCCGCCTATCATCAAGCAAGAAGAAAAAAGGGGTGTAGCAGAAAGAAAAAATCTAATATACAAAAAAGGGGGGTATCTTGTCTTTAAACTCCAAACATCCAAACTACTAAACTACGCTTCGGCAGCTTCCTTATGATCTCCTTCCGTGCTTACGTCCTCAACTCTTTCGTTCTCTTCAGACTGGGAAGGTCTTCTTCTCTTAGCAAGGCTAGCATTGGACGATGACGTGCTAGCAGCAGTATCCTTAAGAGTAAAGGAGCGCGTGTCGTTCTTACGCTTGTTAGTAGCATCGTTGATAAGTGTGAACTTGGCCGACGGAGGGTCAGCGAGGCCAGAATAAAGTCTAAAGCCACTAGTTAGGTTATCCTCGTCTTTAAGCAAGTCAGCTAAAGCTTCTATAGCCTTATCGAATGCGCGGTTTAAAGATTCCGGCTGAGAAGATGATGCTTTAAGATCGTCGATTTGGCCCGTGAACCGTGGTTTACGAGTGGATTTCGCACTTTTTAAAATGATCTTTACACTTAAATCGAAGTCGTTAAAAGACAACTCAATCGATCGCAAGCTCTCTTTAAAATCCTTCAACTTATCGGCGTCTATAAGGTCGTTAGCTCGGCGGCTCTTGCCTTTAGAAAAGGACTTGGCTCCGTAAGTCTTAGCTTTAACATCTAAGATAATAGCAAATCCCTTTTTAAATACCGAAAATAACTTCTTCTTATGCTTGATAAAGTGTTCTTAGAATTAAGTCCGGGATATAGCAAAGATAGCGGTTAATTCTTCTATCATTCGAGGTTCGTTCTAATCTATTCTTTCGATTAAAGCTTTTGACACGAAATTAACGTAGTCTAGTTGGATTATAGCGGCGAAGGGCTAGCTTGATTCATTGATGACTCTTTACCGAAGGGTTAGCGGTATGCGTCTTAAGACGATAATGCAAGCGTGCTCTGTAAAGCTGACTTTATTTTTCAGTATGCTATCGTTTAGCAAAGCGGTATAATTGTTAAAGAAGATAGCCTATCCGCAAAGGGCATTTTAAAAAGCGTCTATGTCTAAGAAAACACTTTGTTTCGTGATAACGGATATAAAAGTAGCGAGATCACTAACTATAGCGAGAGGTTAGCGCGGCGCAATGTTCTTAAAAGCATTTAAGGTCTTCGACTTAGGTCTAAAAGCTTCTTATCTAACGGTCTTTTTAAGCGTAGTGTCGTAGGTGTGGCTTTAAGGCTAAATAGCCAAGCTTCCGATCTGAGTCTTTACGCCGTAAAGCATTAAGTGGTAGTCCAAAACTCTGTCTTCTACTCGTAAACTACGGTTCACGAATCGTTTAATATTAGCGTCGTGTTTAATCGCAATCACTCGAGCACTATTGTTGCATCTAAGGAGCTAAGAGGGTTCCGAGTAAGCGATAAGCTTGTAGTTTCCGTTTCGGCGATTGAGCAAAGCGGCAAGGTACAGCTTATAATAGCTTCGGAGGACTTGCTAAATCAAGGAGTGCATTATATTAAAGAGTGCATTAGTCGGGGCTCCTTTTGAGTCACTAATCCGAAAGTGGTAGAGGTACATCTGGATCTCTTTGTTTATGATAGTAAAAAAAGTTTGGTTGCCGTGCTTGTTGTTTAAGAAAGAAGCTCTTAACATAAGCCAAACTTTCGTATAGCTACTTGCATTTATAGTGTTAAAGGAGCTGTTCTTCCAAGCGGTGCCCATCAGGCTAATGCTCTAGTTCAGCTTGTTAAAGGACATCGGCTTGGCTTTGAACTTAGAAAAGCTTAAGCTAGATATTCTCTTAGCTAAAGTATTGCTTTTGGTCTTAGTGGCGAACATCGATTAGTTGCTCGAATAAAGCATAAAGTTATTAAGGGCGTTAGTTTAAAAGGCCTCGATGAATCGATACAAATTGGAACGGATCACTACTATTATAAAGCCTTTCGTAGCTAGCCTAAGGTATTTAGCGTATTCGAAGGTGTAGACTTCGCAAAAGACTCCTTCTGATAAGTCGGTAGCGGACGGTAAGACTTTGCGGCTGAAGCGGAGCTTCGTCTGGACGTCCAAGTCAAAGAGTTCTTTAAATCTATCTTTAAATTCTAATACGTTCTTCACCTCTTAAAAGACCTTTATGCAATCGCAATCATCGTCGTTAAGGCTTAAATTAAAGATCTCGGATAGCAAGAAGTAGTTCATTACCTTGCTTCTTTCTTTACTTACCCCCACTTAGCTACGACGGTCGAAGAGTCGTAAGATCGCGTTGTTAAAAAATTCGTCTTTTAAAAGCTTACGGATTTGGCTGATAGCCTTTTTAATTGATTCCGCGGCGACTTAAAAGGCATTATCGATGTTCTCGTCCAGGTTCAAGCGGTCGAAGGCTAATTAGTAAAAGTTTTAGCAAAAGTTGATGAAGGCCACGTTTATACTTATAAGGTCTTTAATCTCGACGAGTCTTAAGCAGCGGTTCGACACAGCCTTAGCTAGTTCGTACTTGAAGCTGTCTTCTTCTTCAACGAGTAGTGCTAATAGCAGCTGGTTTTCGAAAAGGTCGCGTTGCATTTTAGGTCTAAAGGCTGCAAAAGAGCTCGCGTCGATGGACTTGCGTAAGGTAGATATGATCGAGGCAATTAATTTAACGTTCGAGGCTTTATTAACAAGAGATAACGTCGATCCTTAAGACAAGGCTAGTGATAGCGAAAGGCGCGCAATAAGTGATTTGAGCAAGAAGGTCTTAAGAGCAAAAGGTTGACTTGGTCTTGCTTTAGTTGCTGAGTTATCTTCTACTCGTGAACCATAGTTTACGAATAAAGTTCTCGATTCGGGCTCCTTTTGCAAAACGAAATTCTAAGTTTAATTCTCGTCGGCAAACTCTATACGTTCTTTAAGCTCGTCGTATTCGCTTTTAATGTTATCGAGAGCCAAAATCAATAAGCTATATAATAAGACCTTTAGTCCTAGCTTCTTCAAGAGTCTTTTATTAAAAATAGCGATCTTATCCTTTTACTTAGTATTGTTTTTGTTTTCTACGGTTTAGCAAATGAAGTTGACTACCGTAGCATTAAGCTTAGTAAACTTGCGTCTTCGGGTTATATTAGCTGTAGTCTTTTAAAAGGCGACGTAAGCAATAATATAGTAATTGATGACTTGGATAGCGTAAGCGTTAAGGGTGCAGTTCTTTAGAATGACGCCCAGTTAGCGAGCGCTACGGATTAAAGTGCATATAGCTTTAAAGTGGTCGTTATATAACAATTAGCTTCGAGCGCCGTCGAAAGCTCTTTTGATTCGTTTGTATCTTTCGGCGTTTTTATTGCGTAAAAAGTGGATAGCGGTGACTTTGGTAATAAATTGGTCGTAAGCCGAAAGGAAGTCTTCGGCGTTTATATTCTTTTTTACGCATTCGGCTCGCAAGAATTAGTCGTATTGCAAGATCAGGTCGTCTTTTCTACTTAATCTGTTATTAAGGTCGGAAGTTGCTATCTTAAGCATGGCTAATTAATTAGAGTTGCTTATTTAGCGGTAAGTCTAGAGGAACTTATCGAAGGTCTTAATGACTCGTCTTTCGAATTTCAGCTCGAAACTAGATTATCGGGCTAAGGCGGCTTGCTCTTCGCTTATTAATAGGCTAGAAGGTGCATTACGGTCAGGGGCTTTTCCTTTGGCGGCGGCTGACTTAAGAGGCATATCTAATTCGTGAACTACGGTTTACGGGCTAAATATAAGATAACGGAATAAGAGCTGATAGTGGTAGTGATTGATTAAGTGATAATTAAGGTCGTTAGTGTTAGCGTAGTATTATGTAGTTATAAAAAAGGGGTAATAGTAGTATTGTTGTAGTTATTGTTATATAAAAAAAGAAAATGTTGAAAAGAAAGAAGGAAGAGCTTTCTTATATAAGTACATTTGTAAGGAAGACCCACTTTTTCTAACAGCAGTTCTCTTTCGAATACACGTGGTTAAGCACGCTTAAAACAAGGGAACAGTTTTAAATAAGAAATAAAAAATAGCCGTGTAAGCCTAAAACAAGTGAAAAAACAATTAAACAATAAGAATAATCTGTATAAGACAAGTGAATAGCAAGTAAGATAAGAAAAACAAAGAAAGAACAGAAAATATAATGAAAGGCAAGTCCAAAGGTGAGAGAATAAACGTAAGAAATACTTTTTTCTACCAAAACAAAGAAAGTAATCATTAGGGCACGTCCTTTCATAGAATAAGTATAAAACAAAAAGAAGATAAGAACGTAAAAAAAAACAAAGTAAAAGAAACAGATTAAGAAACAATTTTATAAGCCAATTTTTATTCTTTCGAAAGTGTTAAGAGAATGATTTAAAAGTTAATAGACTTAGGTCTTAAGATCACCCTTAAGTTAAGTAGTTTACTTTTGCCGTCGTCGAAAGGCTCGTATTCGCTGAAGTCCGAGTTGTCTAAAGAGTCCGAATCTTTTTCTTCTTCTTTTTCGTCGTCCTTATTAAAAGGAAAGAAAGTTTGATCGCGGCGGTAGAATCGCTTGAAGCGGTTGGCTGCAAAAGTGCTTTTGAGCTTAGTCCTATCGGTTTCTTAAAGTTTGTAGTATCCTTTATCGTAAGCCTTAAAAACGACATAAGGTCCTAGCCACTTATAGTCCAGCTTAGTATCCGCGGATATATCGATGCTTCGTTTAACGTCGTAAAAAAGTATTAAGTCTTTTTCTTTAATAAGTTTCGACTTTAAAACCTTGACTCGTTTCTAAGTGGCTTTAACGGCAAGTCGATAGCGCTTCTTCTTTAAAATGATCTCGTCGATATCCTCGTCCCGGAGTTTTAATTGTTTAAACCTTATAATAAGCAGATCAGCGCGAGATCGAACCTTTTGCTAAAGTAATAACTTTTAAACTAGCTATCGTAATTCTAAAAGTAACTTAGCTTCCCGTCCGTAGTTCAAGAAGAAAAAAGTAACTTTAGTAAGTGCGTATATCGATGTCCGAACCGCAAAGAGCATCTTATTGAATTTGCGGACCTAATCTTTAAATCCTTCGTTTGTGACTTTCAATAAGTTATCTAAGATATCTTTATAACCTCTTTCAATCATTCTATTAGCTTTTGAATTATAGCTTAAGATTTAGACCCTTTTGATCCCGTATTTAATAGCGAAGGCTTTAACAACTGCTTTGTTTTCGAGTCCTTTATCGATAGTCAGTCTTTCGAATAATCTATAGCGGCAAACGATATCTTCTTAAAGGAACTTAATAATAGATTCGGCGTTGGCTGATCGAAGTAGCCGACCTTTTAGCTATCTAAATAAATCTTTCTTAACTAGTACGAAGCATGTTATCCTTTTATCGGTGGTAAGTACTCGTGATACGTCCAAGCTAACTTTTAACCATATCTGAGTAAGCTAGGTCGGATACAAAGGGTTTTCTGTTCGTCCAGCCTTGCGTTTCTAGTAAGGCTCATAGCTTTAGACGAAGGCTTTGCAATCTTCGTAGCATCTATTTCAAAAGAAGAGTTTTGATATGCGGTAATAAGTTAATTCAGCTCTTTTATATCCGGATTCTCGATAAGCGTCGGAAATAGTAGTATAGCGTCTTTAAGTTCCGTCGACAACTAGCTTGATCGAGTAAGAATTGTCTGCTCGCTTATAAAAGTAATTATCTTTAACCAAGTAGTTAAATGCTTTATTCTTGAATTTCTAAAAGTCGTAAGTCTTGATCGAAGGAAAGCGTTTAAAAGTGGTAAAGAATTAAGCAATAAGCTTAAAGTCGAGCGAGTAATCGTATTTTAAAACTTTCTTTTTAGCCCGTGAATTATAGTTTACGAGTCGTTTAACCGAAAATACTGAAATAATGCTTAGCTCGTTAGTGACCTAATCGTTAATATCTTCTTTTTTTTTCTTTTTAACGTTTAAAGGATGCCCTTTTCTTTTTTTAAAAAGACCGTCCGCTGCTGTGTTTTTAATCTTAAAGATGTGCTTAACTTCAAAGTCTATTAATCTCATTTACGCAATCTAGTTTGTAACGAAAGCTTTAAGCAAGTCGCTTGCTAATCCGTTAAGTTGATCAACTAATACTTTAGCGTCGGTTTCCAAGATGAAGTGAACTTCGTATAATTCGCTTTTTATTTTTTTTATAGCTTTTAAAGCATCGCGGCATTTTCGCTTGGTCGCGTTGTATTTGCTCTCCGCAAAGTTTTAAAGACCACTTTCGAACCTAACAGGATGTCGCTTTTTGTCGGAATCCTCTTATTGCAATACTGCTTTTTATCTTTTAAGACTAGCGTTTACTGTCAAGTAAATTTTCTTTTTTTCTTTGCTATAATCGATCTTGATAAAAGCGGAGGCAGAGAGCAAGGCTTTCTTAAGCAGCCTTATCGCTTCTTGCTAAAGCTTTAACCATTCGAATTCGACCCCCTTTCTTATAATCGCGTAGATTAAAGCAGCAATTATAAAAAAGTTTTTAATTTAGATTCTATAATAAACTACGATCTTAATAAAAGCTCGGGCTTCCGATACATCTTCGCATTTAATCCATTCTAGTATCTTTTTAATTTTGGCGGTCTAAAGATAGCGTCCTTCGCTATCTATAACGAATCTAACGATGTTAAGGCCGGGCATGTAGTATTAAGACTTAGTTTCGACGGTCGTCCTAGCTCTTTTAAACCTTACGAGCATCTTATCGATGTTTTGTATATGTTTTAAAACGAATCGTCGAATTCCGAGCAAAACTTTTTTATAATTGTAAAAGGATCGCGATCTTTTGATTTTTACGTTATTTATATAAAGCAAGCAAACGTTAAGAATGCAGTTTATAAGGATTTTATAGATGACCTTAACGAATTAAGCGATCGAATTAATAGCTTTTATAAGTATTCGAATCATTCGAAGCAGTTCGATAAGCGTTTAAATAGCTATCATGTCTTTAAACTCAATATCGAAGAGGAATTAATCGTATTTAAAGAAGAAATCCAAGAGTGTAGCTATTATAAGACCGGCAAATTCGTTCGAAAACTGGTTTACGTTCGAAGCAACATTAGCGTCTTTGACCGTTATACGGTTCATTTTAATTACAGCAATAATTAGCTTGTATTTTCCTTTTTTTTTCTTTGCTATAATAAACCACTTGTTACGATAAAGGCTTTAGCATAGTTCGAAGATCTTTTGCTTTAATCGTTTTTTTAGTATAAAGATAACCATTTCTTGCAAAGCTTTCGATATCGTAAACGTTTTCTTTTGCTAAGCTTCGTGCGGCACCGTCTTAATCTTTTAAGATGGTATGACTTCTTTCCGGACTTGGCCAAGATAAGTAAAATCTTAAGCTATCGCTTCTTTTCGATTCAAAAGGCATTAATAAAGCAGCTTTCTTTCTTTCGAAGTGATTTAAAAGCTAATCGTAAGTGCTTCGAATCGTTTTTTCGTTAATCTTGATCTAACTTCTAAGTTTAAAAACTTGCTAATAAAGTATTTCGAAAAAGGTCTTTTAAGCTTAAAAAGTCTCGCTTTTTTATCTTGCTTAAACTAATCGTCGATTCTTTTAAGTATCTTTTTATCAAACACTTTTAAATCCACCGGTCTGACCTTCTTCGCCTTTCTTTTGTACATCGTATTAACTTCTATTATATTCCTTTTTAAAAGGTCTTTGTCGTTATCGATAATAAACATAAAATTTTCCGATTTGTCGAGTTTGATTGCAAATATTTTTAATGTTTTTGATTTTAATAAGCTTTGCTTAATATTAAGTTGAATTGTTTTTTTGTGATTTTGTTGTTTTTATACCGATTTATTCGTAAACTATAGTTCACGGGCGGAATTTCTTTTTAAGCCTCTTTTTAGCTTAGCATCCATCTTAGCCTGCATGCTAGCTATTAGTTTCTCGGGTCTTCGACCAAATCCGACTTGTCTTTTGCAATAATAATTTATCTTTAAGTAAATCGATCGTAGTTTTAAAAAGAGGCCTTTATCGTATTATTATCGAGGTAAGAAAAAGAAAGTTAGGATTCTAAGAAAAAAAGCATGCTTAAAATAACCTCGTAGCTGCTATTATTAATAATAAAAAAATCGGCGTAATTGATAATTCCGCCGATAATGATCTCGACGTCGTTTATCTACTTATCGAAGTTGTAAAGATCCTCGGACATAATAATATAGACTAAAGCTCGATCCGTTATAATAAGTAGTTTGGCCATCTTAGCCACTTTTTTATTTATTACGTTGACCTTAAATCTATTATCGAAAAAGGATCTGCTCTTAATTATACCGTCGATATTAATAAAAACTTTTAAGGTTTTTACTATTACTTCGAAGCAGTTGCGAGCGATAAGTTGTTTGCGAATTTGCGTCGCTAAAAGGTTTAGTTTGCCTTCTTCATTCCGACTTAAACGTTCAATAGTTAAGGCGTTTATAAGAATAAGCTTACTTTAAAAGACTTCTACGTTTTCCTCAGCATCGGGGACCATTAAAATGTGGTGGCTTAATAGCTTGTCGAAGCGAGAGCTAAGTCCGAACAAGTCTTTAATCTAGACTTCGATTCTCGATTTTATAATAGCCGCTACTGCTTTTTTTTAAGCTTTAGTAGTAACGTAAGGGTCAATAAACTTCTTTCGTTTATAGGTCCTTTTCTTCCTTCCTCTTGGCACTCGTTAAGTGATCTCGACCTTTCCTTCCACATCCTTTATAGCTTCGTCGGCTGCAGCTGGTCCAGAAGACTCTTCCTTAATTACATTATCGAACAACCCATCTTTTAAGTTTATTTCTATAGCAGTACCCGATTCTTAAGAGGCACGGGCCTTAAGAGTGCCGTAGTTCTTTTCCTTTTATTATCGGATATTCTTCTTAATCTTAGTAAGTTTAGATCCTTCCGAAAGCGGGAAAGGCTTTTTAGCTTTGTCTCTTGCGGCGGCGTTGATTTCGACCGAAGCGACCTTTATGCTAGATAGGTGGCTAAGCGTATTGATCCATCTTATAGTATTGATATTTTTAGTATCGACTAGTCTTTTAAAAATAGTAATAAGTTCTCTTGATTAGTTGGTTAATTGCTAAGCATTTTGATCGGGCTGATACTAAGCTAGCTATTAGATTAGTTATTGATAAAAGAGCAAGTGTTCATAAGTCTTAAGTCCGCTAATAAGCCGATTCTTTAAAATATTGTCGTATTCCGTCTTTCGAACGTTTAATACGATGGATTTGAACCAAGTCTTTCTTTGCTTCTTTTAAATGATAAGAGCACCGATCCTCTTAAGTCTTAAGCAAAAGCGTCCGTAATCATTAATATAAATACATCTTTTATTAACTATGTCCTTAAAGGCCTTACATTTATTCCGGTATTAATAAAGAGCTTGAGTTGTGTCTTCGGAATTCTCGCAAAAGCTATAATCTTGCATATAGCTCCCGTATCTTTTACCTCCTCTTCTTTTTCGTCTTTGTAATTCGTAGCCGATAGCAGCAATCTAAACTCCACTTTCGAAGCTGACCTTACTTCGAGCATCTTAAGCGGTATACTTAATAAAGGCTTCGTCGTAGTCTTCGAATCGAACTTGAAGCTAAGATTAAACAAGGCGTCGGAAAGTTAAGTTAGCGACTTGGTCTTCAAAGTAATCAATTCGATTATAAATCGCACCGATCTGCAAGTTAGAAAACTTCTTAATTATAAAACCTACTTTATCAATTCTTTTTTTTTCATTCGTAAACCGTGGTTCACGAGTAAACGGCATTACTATTAAGGCTTTCTTAATAGACTTAAGAACGCTAGCTAGCTCGGTGTATTCTTTAACCAAGGTCCGAATATCCTTAATGAAGTTGGCTAAAAAAGACTTTTCCCGATTTATAGCTTCGATAGTCTTAGCACTCTGGTCGGTCTTAAAAGCGAATACGACGAAGTCGTCGAAAGCGGCATAAGAGTCTAGGTCGAGTTCGTCGACTTTACAATGCTTAATCGTTTTGTTTCGGATTTCGACGAGCAATCCGAGAAAGAACAAGCGGCCTTGTTCGATCTTGCTTAATAAGTGCATCGAAGTAAGTCTTTTAAAGACCCGAAAGAAAGTGCGACAATAGTTTTTTAAGTTATTAATATCCCGTTCTTGCATAGCAAATTCCCGCAAAAAGGCGACCGAGTCCTTGATCTATTAAGTATCGTTCTTACGAAACTCGGCTTTTAAGGCCTTAACGAAAGCAGCCTAATCTTTCTTAGCTTTCCATTCGAGCAAGCTTTTAATAACCTCTTTGCGAAGGTTATCATAATAACGAAAGAGCTTGATAAACCGATCGTCTTTAAAAATACTAAAGTCATTATAAGTCTCTTCGTACTTCTCGATAAAGTCGGTGATATTAGCACTATTAAAGCAAGGAGCTCTTGGAGCACTTGGCAATAGCATGCGAGTAGTTATGAAGGCGTAAAGGATGGCAAGGTCGACTATAACTAGCGCAAGGCTTGGTGGAAGAGCAGGAAGAGCAAGAAGAGGAAGAGTGGTGTAGGTCTTAAGACCGGTGTTCATTTTGGGAGGCATTTCCGGAGCAAGTGTTTCCGATAGAAGTAAAGGTTTTGGTTAAAGGTCGAAGTAAGATAAAGATGGTCCGAAGCCTACTAAAATACGAGTTAAGGATTCAACAAATTCAAAGGATTCTGACGAAAAAGGAGGTGATTCTGCGCCGACTTCGATATTAGAAATCTTAAAAAGGTTTCCGGTATTTTAAAGATTAGACATATGTATGTATTAAGAATGATCGGGTTGATAAAAGGTTTTTGAATTGTTTGATTTTAACTCGTGAACCGGGTTCACGAGTAAAATAAGCGATTTTCGCAAAGTATTCTCGATCCGAGATTAAAAAGAGTAGACTTTATGTAAAAGTAAACTAATAGTTAAAATCAGAACTATGAAAAACTTAAGAATCAATTGATTAGCCTCGCTAACAACTCCGGACCATATCAATTGCTTTAATTCAAGATAAGAGCTAAAGTATAGAAAGATATTTTTATTAATAAGTGAAAATTCTTTTTTATTAATAATAAAAGAGAGTTTTTGCTAAAGAGCCGAAATATTGCATTTCGGCCATTCCGGCATTTCGGTATTCGAACCTATCGGGAATAAGGTTTTGATTGTTTGAAGTTGTAGTTGTAGAGTGAAGTGCTGAATAATGAACGAAGATTAACTTGATTGCGAATCAAGCGATTATAATAGGCTGTATAAGAACAAAGACTAAAGGTTTGAATCCTTGCGTAAGTCACTAATATAAAAGCACTTAAAAAGATGTGCCGTATAGAAGCTTGGCTTTGAAGCTAGACCTTATGGTCTTATAAAAAAGAGTCAGAAAAGATAGGTGGAAAGCTCGTTGATTGTTCTAGCTAAGAGATGTGTGCCCTTTTATAAAAGATGGGTCCGTCTAGTGTGGCCTTAATGGCCATGGCAGGTACCCTATCAGGCAGGGTGTTTACATTATTAAAAGCGTTAATTCGATAAGCTTCGATAAATCGATATAAGTTAAAACGGATCATTATTATTATAAAGCCTTTTATAGCTAGCTTAAAGTATTTAGCGTATTCGAAAATATAAACTTCGCAAAAGACTTTATTTAATAATTCGATAGCGGACGATAAGACTTTACGATTAAAGCAAAGCTTCGTTTAAACGTTTAAGTTAAAAAGTTTTTTAAATTTATCTTTAAATTCTAATACGTTCTTCACTTTTTAAAAGATCTTTATGCAATCGTAATCGTCGTCGTTAAAGCTTAAATTAAAAATCTCGAATAGCAAAAAATAGTTTACTACTTTGCTTTTTTCTTTACTTACTTTTACTTAATTACGACGGTCGAAAAGTCGTAAGATCGCGTTATTAGAAAATTCGTTCTTTAAAAGCTTGCGGATTTAATTAATAGCTTTTTTAATCGACTTCGCGGCAATTTAAAAAGCATTATCGATATTTTCGTTTAAGTTTAAGCGGTCGAAAACTAATTAATAAAAGCTACGTTTATACTTATAAGGTTTTTAATCTCGACGAGTCCGAAGCAGCGGTTCGATACGGCTTTAATTAATTCGTACTCGAAGCTGTCTTTTTTTTTTAATAAGTAATGCTAATAGCAATTAGTTTTCGAAAAAGTCGCGTTGCACTTTAAGTGCAAAAGTTAAAAAAGAGCTTACGTTAATAGACTTGCGTAAAGTAAATATAATCGAAGCAATCAATTTAACGTTTAAAAGCTTATTAACAAAAGATAACGTCGATCTTTAAAACAAAGCTAATAATAATAAAAAGCGCGCAATAAATGATTTAAGCAAAAAAGTCTTAAAAGCAAAAGGTTAACTTAATTTTACTTTAATTGCTAAGTTATTTAATACTCGTGAACTATAGTTTACGAATAGAATTTTAAATTCGAGTTTTTTTTGTAAAACGAAATTCTAAGTTTAATTTTCGTCGGCAAACTTTATACGTTTTTTAAGCTCGTTATATTCGCTTTTAATATTATCGAAAGCCAAAACTAATAAGCTATATAATAAGACTTTTAATCTTAGCTTCTTTAAGAATCCTTCGTCCGGAATAGCGATTTTATCTTTTTATTTAATATTAATCTTATCTTTTATAATTTAGCAAATAAAGTTGATTACCGTAGCATTAAGCTTAATAAACTTGCGTCTTCGAGTTATATTAATTATAATTTTTTAAAAAGCGACATAAGCAATAATATAATAATTGATAATTTAAATAGCGTAAGCGTTAAAAGTGCAAGTCTCTAGAATGACGCTTAGTTAGCGAGCGCTGCGGATTAAAATATATACAGCTTTAAAGTGGTCGTCGTATAGCAATTAGCTTTTAACGCCGTCGAAAGCTCTTTTAATTCGTTTGTGTCTTTTAGCGTTTTTATTGCATAAAAAGTAGATAGCGGTAACTTTAATAATAAATTAATCGTAAGCCGAAAAAAAGTCTTCGGCGTTTATATTCTTTCTTGCGCATTCGGCTCGCAAAAACTAATCGTATTATAAAATCAAGTCGTCTTTTTTACTTAATTTGTTATTAAAGTCGGAAGTTGCTACTTTAAGCATAGCTAATTAATTAAGATTGCTTATTTAACGGTAAGTCTAAAAGAACTCATCGAAAGTCTTAATAACTCGTCTTTCGAACTTTAGTTCGAAACTCGATTATCGGACTAAAGCAACTTGCTTTTCGCTTATTAATAAGTTAAAAAGTGCATTCCGGACAAAAGCTTTTCTTTTAGCGGCGGCTAACTTAAGAAGCATATCTGACTCGTGAATTACAATTTACGAATTAAATATAAAATAACGGAATAAAAGCTAATAATAATAGTAATTAATTAAGTAATGATTAAAGTCGTTAGTATTAACGTAATATTATATAGTTGTAAAAAAAAAGTAATAATAGTGTTATTATAATTGTTATTATATAAAAAGAGAAAATATTAAAAAGAAAGAGAAAGGAGCTTTTTTATATAAGTACATTTACCAGGGCAAAGGACCAAGTTCTTTGT